AGTCCACTCGAAGGGAAGACGAGGGCCGAAGGCCCGAAGTGACTCTAAGTGGAAGGATGAGTCCCAATGGGGGGGGGAAGACGAGGGCCGAAGGCCCGAAGTGACTCTAAGTGGAAGGATGAGTCCAATCGAAGGGAAGACGAGGGCCGAAGGCCCGAAGTGACTCTAAGTGGAAGGATGAGTCCCAATGGGGGGGGAAGACGAGGGCCGAAGGCCCGAAGTGACTCTAAGTGGAAGGATGAGTCCAATCGAAGGGAAGACGAGGGCCGAAGGCCCGAAGTGACTCTAAGTGGAAGGAAGAGTCCAATCGAGGGGAAGACGAGGGCCGAAGGCTTTAATTACATCTAAAAGGCAGAGCAATTGTCAAAGGTAGAGCATAGATCCTCCGAGGCCGAAGGCCGAGGAACCGGCGGGCCGTTGGCCCGCCGGTTGGCGAGGGCCGAAGGCCCGAGCTTTCATTACATCTAAAAGGCAGAGCAATTGTCAAAGGTAGAGCATAGATCCTCCGAGGCCGAAGGCCGAGGAACCGGCGGGCCGAAGGCCCGCCGGTTGGCGAGGGCCGAAGGCCCGAGCTTTCATTACATCTAAAAGGCAGAGCAATTGGGAAGGAAGAGTCCAATCGAAGGGAAGACGAGGGCCGAAGGCCCGAAGTGAATCTAATTGAAAGGATGAGTCCAATCGAGGGGTAGACGAGGGCCGAAGGCCCGAAGTGACTCTAAGTGGAAGGGTGAGTCCAATCGGAGGGAAGACGAGGGCCGAAGGCCCGAAGTGACTCTAAGTGGAAGGAAGAGTCCAATCGAGGGGAAGACGAGGGCCGAAGGCCCGAGCTTCCATTACATCTAAAAGGCAGAGCAATAGTCAAAGGCAGAGCATAGATCTTCCGAGGCCGAAGGCCGAGGAAGATGGAAGGAAGAGTCTAGATGGAAGGAAGAGTCCCAACGGGGGGAAGACGAGGGCCGAAGGCCCGAAGTGACTCTAAGTGGAAGGATGAGTCCCAATGGGTGAAGACGAGTTGGCGAGGGCCGAAGGCCCGAAGCAATGAAAAGGCAGAGGTAATCAAATATATTCCAAGCATCCAAACATTCTAGCAGCGCGCGAAGCGCGCCCCAAAGCCGATAGGCTTTCCAACGGGCAGAGCCAAATTCAAACCCAAAGCAAAATTAAACTGCCATTGCATACGTAACTTACCGCCATTGCATACGTAACCCACAGCTAGTTAAATATAAATAAATTCTGTTTAAAATAACATTTCTGAATCAAATTTAAAATTAAATATAAATATGTATATTTTCAATTCCTTAATATAAATCTTTGTTGCTTACCAAACTTAAAATTATTTTTAATTTTCAACAGATAATTTTATTTATGGCAATAGTTTTGGATTTCTTAGTGGAAGTTCAATTTCTATTTTGGCATGTCGTTTTATTATGTCTAATCCAAATACAACAATTATAAATTTACTTGGAAAAATATTTGAATATTTTTCAAATAAACAAATTAATGGAAATATAAAGTATTTTTTAATTAATTTTAAATAAACTGTTAAATTAAGGGGTATAGAATCCGAATTAATAAAGCTTTCCAATGCCTTAGGACGGGGTTAATTCTTCGGAGTTTCTGGTTGACATTGTCTAAGGAAGACCTGACGGGAGACCCTTGTTTAATGGGAGGGTTCGTTGTCGGGGTACAACTCTAATTTAAAATAAATTTTATTTAAAAAATAACATTTTGTGGGAGTTTTTAAAGGAGGAGAAATAAAATAGGCCACTGACGGATATATTAAAATAAAATAATTATTTAAAGTTCTGTTCCAATGATTTTGGAATTAAATACTGATTATCCAAATATTAGACAATATTTGGATTGGAATATTCCAAACGAACATATAAATCGTTCAAAACAAATTCCTCCAATTTTCCATCAAAATTTAAAAGAAAATTTATATCCAATATGGCCAATTATAACACCTGGATTCCCTACACAAAATTCAAATTTTAATATGAATATTTCGACGGCCAAAATTATTCAAAAAACAATGAGAAATGGTTGGATTTTTTGTTAAATTTATTTTTGAAAAAAGAATTTTGGGGCATAAATTCTTTCCAAAAATAAAAATATATTTAAGGTTTATTGGAATTCAATTCAATTATAAATGAAATGGTAGAAATTAAAAAGAGAAGAATACCACCAATACCGTTCGAAATATTATGGCAAAATTGGTTAGAAGGAAGTCCTTTTAAAAATAAGGTATTTTAATAAATTAATTTATGTTTTTGAGTAGATTTATATATAATTCCATTACAATTTTTCAAGTTTTGTATACAAATTGTAAAGCAAAATCTAATTGAAACCCTATAAAATAAGCGTTTCTGAATCCCATATAATATACTTGCAAAATTTAAACTTATTACTATTAGTAGGGATATTATATATAGGTCTTAATTACTGTGAGATTAAAATCGACTGAATTTTAAGAATTAAAAAATTGCTTTTTCAATCAAAAATTTACAAAAAAAAACAATCTCTACAACAAATTAGATTTTCCCTTTTTCATTTTAGTTTCATAATTATTTGGCTATAATATGTGCATATTCACCTAAAAGCAAATATGGCTCTTTATTTTGTGATTATGTTGGTACAAGAATTCGATTACAATTACTTTTTTCTATTGAAATTTTACAAAATATAGAATATTGCCATATAAATCCAAAAAAGCTTTTAAATAACCAAAAATGTTCGGACCAATTCAAATCTGAAAATGATGATGATTGGATTTGTAATGTTTGGATTGTTGGAATTGTGTTTAAAAATAATGATGAAAATAATTATTTAATATTTGAAAATGAAGGGAAAGAAAAACTTTTTGAATTTTCTTACAGAATAAAGTATGGAAAAAACATTATAAAATCAGAATGGGTTAATGAAATTAAACTTTTTGATTTGAATGTTATTAAATATATTTGAAAGAAGATATTCTTAATTAAGAAGTTAATTAATATAGTACATGGCAATCCAGGAGAAATGGGGTCCCCGCGAAAAAAGAGTTTAAAAATAAGAAAAAAGGAGGGACCCCAATTCTCCTGGATTGCCATATACATAATATATAAGCAATACATTTAGATCACTCTTATAGTTCCCGACATATTTTGTCTAAAAATATAATTGTTGTAAGTCTTCATTAATTTCTATTTTCTTATTTTATATATGTATTCATCATCAGATAGATAAGATTGTATTTAAATAAATTAAAGCAAGATTTCTTTTAAAACTAAGGTTTTTTTGTATTTTTTAAAAATTTAACTAATTAAATTTTTAGTAACTTTCTTAATTTTGTTGAGTATATTTTTTAACCATTTTTGCTTAATTGCTTTCTTCTCAAAAGCCTTCGTTTTTAGTGTTGCTAGGAGTCCATCTCTATACATATAAATATGTATTTTTATATTTCTTTTTTTTAATATTTTTTGTAATTTTATCGATTTTTCTAATATTTAAAATTTTATAATTTATTAAAATTTAATATAAATTTATTTAAAACTTTCTTTTAAGAATTAATTTCAAAAATTTAGGAATTTCTTAAACTATCTTTTAATCCAAAGTTTCTAAATCTTTGAATTATTACTAGGTAGCAGAGGTGGATCGGAACAGTCAGAGGTGTTGGAAATTGGACGAGCCGGAAATCGGAACTGGCTCAAAAGTCGGAAATCGGAAATTAATTTTTTCGAAAATCGGAATTACGACCCACCTCTGCTAGGTAGTGAGTAAGGCATACACTTTTGCACCTTACTGTATTAGAAATTCTTTAAACTATTCATTAATAATGGGGGATATTTGAATGATTCTAAATATTTAATAAAAAATAAAAACAATTAATATATTCTATTAAAAATTTTGCTTTTGCGCAAGTAAAAGAAGAATTATTTAGTAACTAAAATACATATAACTATTAAATGGACAAATTTTCTAGATTATTTGTTTTGCTGCTATTCATTTCTTTATTCGCGCTAGTTTTATATTGGCCACCACAAACAGAAAATAAAAAAAAAGAAAATATACCTTTACGAATGTGTACAAAATATTTATTGGATTGCGCATAAAAAATAATTATTTATTTATTTATATTTAATATATTTATGTTTTGTTCGAATGATAAAATTTTTTTATTTTATTTATTATTTCTTGAATATTCTTTTAAAAGTAGCAACAAATGTTTCAGAAACTCAAAAAGAAATTTGTGGAGAATTGGAGGTCTTTTTTTGTTCAGATTTTAATAGAGAAATATTTTAATAATTGGAGTAGTTCTAGATAGGGTTGAGGTTTTCGAGTCGGGCCGACGGGCTTTACGTGCTTCATTTTTATCGGACGCAGCCCGACTGAGTCTTTTCCAGGCCAAAATTCGAAGTCCGGCTATCTTTCGGACCGAACCGGGCTCCCAACCCTAATTCTAGACTAAAAAGACATTTTTACAATTTCAAAGAAAATTGAAATAATTATATCTAATCTAAATTCCTATCCCATTCTAAAATTAAAAAGATTATTTTTAATTTAAGAAAATTTTTAAAATTATTTTCTTAATTAGATACATAAACAGCATCATATCAATCCAAACAACTCTGTTTTGTTGAGAATAGAAGAAGATCAGAAAGTTGCAAATCTTAATGAATGTCTTGCACGATGTTGCAACTTAACAAGTAATTATTCAAAATTAAAAAGAAAAAATGTAAAACAATAAATTTAGATTCAGATTTAATTAAAAAAAACGTTTATTAACAGTTTTGTTCTCGTTTAATTTAATAAATTTGCTTTTAAATATTTATTTTTATTTAGATTGTTCTGCAATAACATTCACTGGATTTCAAACTTTAAATCTAAACTCAACAAATACACAAAAATGTTTATTATTTTTTTGTACAAACAACAGTTCATCATCTAATATTGGCGGCAGGTGCCATTTTACTAAAGGCACAAACGAAGAAATTAATTTTGGATTGCTTAGTGTGGAAATGCTTAGGGAAACATTTAATAATGTATTTGGAAGGATTTTTTCTGTTTAAATTAAATTTTTGAATAAATTCAGGAAACAAATTTATTAAATAAACATGAGAAAATAAATGGAGAAGATTTGCAATTGAATGGGGAAATTGAGGAAATAACAACCCAAATAATATACAAGGAAACTACAAATCATTCTTTCATGGACTTGAGTACTTGGGATGAAATGTTCCCTTTGGACCCTCAACATGTTCCCGTTTGGATCATTGGACTAGCTATTGTTGTAAGAAATATAAAGATTTATTATAAAATAGAGGCTGAATAAATAAATTTAAAAATGTTTTTTGTCATCTTTAAGTGAATAATTTAAGTGAATAATTAATGAATTTAATTCAAAAATATTTTTATCAATTGCATTTGTCGTCAAAATATCCAAGAATAAACTTCTTTACATGCCTGAGAGAATTTTTACATAATTTATTCGCTTAAGGCTAATGACTTAGGCTAATGACTGTCATAAATTAACCTTAGTTCCTTCATTCAAATTTATATCTAAATTTTTAGGTTTTGGTTGTTGGTTTTGGCATAATACTTGGCTTATTTTGCTATTTTATTTTTTATAAAAGTTATAGGTAAGTTAGTGATTGTATGATTAATACAAAAGAATTATTAAAAATAAAGGTCGAGAATGCGTTCTGCGGAGTTTAGTAGAAAAAAAGTTCAGATGTTACACGCATTTAATCCAACTACAATTAAATAATGTCAAATAACTGGCTAAATTTACCTATATTTTCTTGCTCAGTTCACAATTTATTATATGTATTTTTTCTTTAAATACATATGTATGTATTTATGCACTTTATATTTTTTATAAAAAAAATATTTATATAATTAATTGATTATATACATATGTACTTAATTTAATTTGCTGATAAAAATTATATATTTGCTACACAAACAAAACTAGTAATTAAATTATATTTACAGAATTAATTATAAAATAGTGCAAAAATTAATTTTATTAATTAAATGTCACTACAAACAGATGATAATTTTAAAAAATTGAAAGGCAAGTTACAATTACTTTACAAGAATTTATTAAAGGTTTTATGAAATCCCCAAATTAAAATATTAATTAATTTAAATTTCTTTTTTAGAGTTTAGCCCTCGATCCTGTGATATTTACGAGAGTAGAGTTCGGCCATTTATTAAAGAAAGAACTGCTGTTCTCATTGTTGATGTTCAGAATTGGACAATGGAAAGAGGGAGTTTGCCTTTAAGTGATTATTTTTATGAAGAAGCAAATAAAAGAGTTGTGCCTAATATAAAAAGTATTTTGGATTGTGCACGTGAACGTGAACTTGAGGTAAATTAAATTTTAGAAATTAATATTATATGAAAAAGAAATAGTTTTTAATAAATTATCTCATTATTATGCGTGAGAGGTAATTTTAACAGCAAAAATTCAAATTTTGTCATAAAGTCTTACCTAACTTTAAATTTTTTAGTAATTTTTTGGGATGTTTTTTTTAGATATTTTAGAATATAATTTTTTTTAATTTGATCGGCAAATGATTTTGAAAATTTCTTCCACATATTTAAGTTAACTTCATTAAACCAGTCTCTCTCATTCAAAAAAATTAAATATTTCAAAGGTTGTCTTTACTGTCATCGAGAATTTTACAAAAGATGGACGTGATAGAAGTCTGGACTACAAAATTTCCAATTTCTTTGTCCCTAAAGGCTCACACGATGCTAAAGTCATTAACGAATTTAATCGTCGAGAAGACGAAATGGTTATTCCAAAAACTTCTTCAAGTTTATTTAATTCAACAAATTTTGAATATTTGGTTTGTTTTTTATAAAAAATACAAAAAAAAATAATTTTCAGATGAGAAATATTGGAATTGACACAATTATTGTCACTGGATTTCTCACCGATCAATGTATAGCCGCTACTATTTGTGATGGAGCTGACAGAGGATTTTGGATGATTTGTGTAAATGATGCTTGTGGTACTTCTACTCGAGAAAGACATGTTAATGCTTTGAATGCCTTTAAGGGTTATTGCCGGATTGAAAGTACAGAATCAGTAATTAATGCTATACAAAAAGATATTAAAAAATAAACTTTCGAGAAATATTTTATAAATAATTTAATTTTAAATTTAGAATTATTGACCGTCTTTGAAAGTTTGGGGAATTTTATATTCCCCTCCCCCCTCTCCTAAATTAATTACACAATTATTTTTATTATTCTAAACTTTTTATAAATCAATTAAGGGGTGTTAATAAAATTATTATTTTCTACAAAACTTTCATTTAAAAAGCTGCCCATTCAGGGAAATCATTAATTGGGAGAATATAAGGTACAAATGTTGCTAAATATATAAGCATTGAAATGGCTGTTACTAAAGACATTGCAATTCCTGATAGTATCTGTTAATTAAAAAATAATTTAATTATAAAATATTGGTAAGAATTTTGAATGAGTAGAAGTAATTGAATGTTAGGCTAGTTTCGACATTCATATAGATAAATATATTTTGAACAAACCATATCAGAAACGTTAATTAATCCACTAGAGAAAGCAATAGTATTTGAAGCAGTGCCTACAGGTAAAATAAAGGCAAACGAGGAGGAAAGAGTTGCTGGGAGCATCAATCCAATTGGATGGATTCCAACTTTTTGAGCCATAGTGGAAAATATTGGAATAAATATACTTGCAGTAACAGTATTACTGCATATATTTGTAACGAGCCTTTAAAATTAATTTTTATTTAAATTTATTAGAGGATTATTTTTTACATTGTCACTAAAATGGCAATCAACTGAATTGCCCAGATTGGAAGATAATCTAATTTACTGAGTGTTTGAGCCATTAATGTTGAGAGTTCTGATGCACGGACACCTGCTGCCATAGCAAAACCACCCCCTAAGAGGAGAACAACTCCCCAAGAGAATTGTTTTTGCATTGTTGTCCAATCCATTAAACATTTTGATTTTTCATTTTTATTTCTCTTTGCGTCAATCATAAAATTATTTAAAGGATTTTCAGTTGGCAAGACAAAAAGAAGAATGGCAACAAATATAGCAGACGTGGAGTCATTCATTGTAGAGTTATCCGGAAAGATGTCAGAAATTCCAGGCATAAATCCTGGACGTCGAAAAATCCAAAGGAATAGGAGAAGAAGAAAACAAAAAGCAACAGATTTTTGATCATAACTGTTAAGTAAAGAAGAAAAAAATGTAAATTTATACTAAGTGGGGTTTTTTGAGTTTTAACCCTCAGCAAGGTATAAAATGGAAAATATGGCGTAACTGATTTTAAAACTCGTTAAAGCTTAGAAATTTATTTTGGAAAAGTAAGGGTGAAACTACATATCACACTTCTAGTTTGCCTAATTACCTCATTGGGGGCAAACCATCACTTTGTTTCTTCAACAATATACCAACAGTTTCATCAACTTTTGGACAATTTCTAAGGAAAATAAATGTCAGTAAAATCCAACACATAAATAAACAAAAAATCATTAAAGGCACAGTTAAAACAATCCAAGAAAGATAATTTAATCCAGTTTCTATACCAGGAAATAAACTTAAGAGAATATTTATTTTAATTAAGATATAAATTTATTTTTATTTTCTCACACTGGAAGTATTCCAATAAGTACAAGATTTGATGATGTTCCAGTTGGAGTTCCAACTCCCCCAATATTTGCTGAAAAAGCAACACTGAGAACTAAAGCTTTAGCCAAATTATTATTTTTATTTGGTTTGTTTAAATTTTGTTGTTCTTCAATTTGGATAATTAAATCGCTTTTTGGTAGTATTTCATCTTGTAATAATTCATTTCTGAAAAATATTAAATAAATTTTTTTATTTGAATCAAGTTTTTGAAAGGAGGAGTATATTAAAAGTACTCTCGAAATATCTGCTAAATGTTAAATAATTTAACAGAAAGAAATATCCGCCCCCCCCCATCCCCTAACAACAGCTTCAACGCGGTATTAATACAATTGATACGATTCCTTAGCATTTCAAAATAAAAAAAAAACACACTCAATAAGGCATTTTTCACTATCACCGCCTCCCCTATTTGATTCTAAAGTTTTAGTATTTTCAAGTAAATTAATAACTGATTGACAAATTGGTAACATCATTGCTGCTGTAGCTGTATTACTTATAAACCTTTAGAAATAATTTGAAATATTTTTTCTCTAAAAATTAAGTACATGCTAAGAACAGCAGTAACTGCCATAAATCCAAACATAATTCTTTTAGGTTGGCTACCTACTAAAGAAAGAACAAAAAGTGCTACACGTAAATGTAGCCCACAACGTTCAACCGCTGTAGCAACTATTAAACCACCGATAAACAAAAATACTGTGTCCTGAAAATTTTAATAGAAAAATTGAAAATTCCAAAGTTTTGCAAAAATATTTATTTGTAAATTTACGTGGAATGTAAACAATTGTGAAAAATTATACTTACATTCATAAATTCATGTGAAACTTCTTTTGAAGTCAAAATTCCTATAAGGGGGAAAAGCACAACTGGTAACAATGCTGTTACCTTAAATAAATTCTCTACAATAATTATTTTAGAATATACTCGAGAGCAATTAAAAATCTCAAAAAATCTCACAGCTAAAGGCATTATCTCGCTCGTCCAATAAATAGCCATTAATAACACAACAAAGGCACATTTTATAGCCTAGTATTTAATAATTAAATTTACAATTTTAATTTTCAAACAAACTGGATCAGAATGTAAGAGAAGGGGTGATAAAAATAATGGAGAAAGAATAATCAATGCTGGACGGCGAAATAAAAGAATTTTTTGGATATTAATTTTTGATTTAGAAACTATTTCATCTTCTAATTTATCCATAATAACTAAAATAAATGATTGGGATATTTATGAAGAAATAAAGAAAGAGATATTTATAAGATTTATTAATTACGGGTAAATGTTAGCATTATTGCTCCAAAAAATTGAGAGAGAGAAAAATGTTTCGGAAATGATAAATTAATTTAGAATACCTAATATGGTTTTTTGTTACCCTTGAATTAGAAGATTGGGACAAAAACGGAGGAATGAATATTTAATGGTTTGTTGCTGTTATGCTTACAACAAAACTCTCCTATCTTAATCCCTAATACATCTGCCATTTTTGTGATAATTAAAATTTTTATTCGTATAAGGAATGATCAAAATTTAGGATAAAAATTTTAAGAAACATTCCCCTTCAAAGAATATATTTTCTTATTAAATTAAATTTTATATGTACCACAATTCAACAAATCGGCCAAAATAAATAAAAAATAATTTAACGAATATTTTATGTATTGACTTTCTTTTTAGAATTATTTTATTAGTTTCCATTCAATGCGCAATGTACATAAATCAAAAACTTTTTATGGGAAATGGCTGGGCTATTTTATTAATTTTTTGGTCCAAATATTTCGTTTTATTTTTATTATGAACATAAAATTGTTATATTGTGATCAGTTTATGAATTAAAATTGAATTTAATAATAAAATATTTTTTTTAGAAAATAAAACTTCCGCCTTTTTAATTTGTCAATAAATTAAACTTTTATTTAAATATTCGGTAGAACTCCAGGTTTCGGCAAATGATGGTTTCGAGATCACAAACTGGATCAGAATGCAAGAGAAGGGGATAATGTCTATCGACATTATCGAAAAAGTAAAATATTTTCTCCGTTATGTTGCAGGAAAATTTTCAATTTGAGGAAATCTTAAAATTTTCCGGAAAATTTAGAATTTTTCTAAAATTGAAATTTCCCTGCGACATATACTATAAGTAAAATATAGTCCAAAAACAACTAATTTCAAATACTTTTATCTTCCAAATTATTCACACAAAAAACAAATTTAGAAAAATATATTAGAAGGATACACACCAGAATAATGAGAAAGTTTATTTACATCGCCAGACGAAATAAGTTGAAGAAAAGAAGATCGCTCTCGATGACTATGATCACGGGCCAATGTATTTACTGGAAAAATTATTTTTAGAAATAATTTTAATTAAAAGCAAAAATAAATTTGAGTTAAATTAGGAACAACAAGGGCAAAGGTAAATATAAGAAGAAACTAGCAGAGAATAACCCAAAAGATTAAAATTTTTGTTTACTCCGTCAAAATCCCCTCCCAAAAATTTTTCCGGATTAAGGAACAATTTTTAATATTTATTATTAAATGCAAGCCTGAAGTCAGGATTTTTTTCGAAGGGGGGGGGGCAAGGGGGGAAAATTTTTCTGCAAAAATCCACCTGGCTTCGGGCCTGATTAAATGTTAACTAAATAATTAAATTAAAAACCTTTCTCCACCAATTGAAACATCGCTCCTTGCACACTGCAAAAGGCACTCAATAAAACCAACAATTTATGATCAGAAGTCTGCTAAAAAATAAACAAAATTTAAGAAATTAATTAAGAAAAATTAACTAAATTATCCCGACTGCATTGTTCTGCAGATTTTTCACTGTGAACAGAAAGTTTGAAACAAAGTTTATTAATCTCTTTAAGAATGTAATCATCCTTTTCAATTTGTCCAAGTTGAACTGACTTAAAGAAAAATATAAAACGAAAATTTTTTAAAGAGGCATAAAAATAAGCAATTTTGACATTAATTGAGTAATTTGTTGTTAAAATATCCAAAACCAATTTGATAAGAACCGAAAATTTTTTGGAGGTTATGAGGGTTTTGTTTTATTTGAAAATAAAAAAAAACTCACTATCAAAATTGTTACTCGTAAAAATAAATTTTAGACCTAATCTTTATAGAAAAACAAAAACCTTAACATAAGCTTTAGCAACAGCAATTCCTTGAAGAAAAGTATTAATTGCTCCAAATTGTGCAGCCATTTGTTTTGAAGTAGTCGACTCAGCCGAAGCATTTGTTTTAGAATATCTAGCAACATGGTCCAATCCAATCTGTTCAGCCATTTCGCTAACAATTTTGACTGTTATTGAATGAAAAATGAGACTGTTTTCATTAACAGGGTCAACAGACGAATCAAAAACAGAAATTGAAACCTAAAGAAAAATTATTTTAATAAAATTTTTGGGGGAAGTTTCATAGAAAGCTTATTTAATAATAAAAATAAAGACAAATGTACTTAAAATAATAATCCTTCGAACGAAATGCTCTTATAGTTTCAAAAAAATTTCCAGCTAGAAACCAAGCCAAAGAAGGGAGGGTATACGAAAAGAATTTAATTGAGGAGGATATCGTTGTTCGAAAAAATAATAATAGAGATCGGTCTGGGGGGTTTCCTGTACCAAGAGTCCAGGCCAAGGCATTTTTTACCTTCCTGGCTTTTTCCTGGGCCTGGGTTTTTTCTGTGACTTTAAGCCCAGGATCCGGCCCAGGCTTTTCAAAAGTACGGATTCTAATAAATAACTCAATGAAAGTCACAATTTGAAGTTTTTATTTTTAAATTATTAAGCCAACCTTGTCAGAAATGACAGGAGCAAAGACATTAAATTTAAGAAGGAAAGGTGATTCATTGTGTTGCAAAGCCTGACGTTGCAAATAAATGTCATCTTCAATTACTCGTTCATGATCACCAGAAACATAAAAACCAAGAAATTCTAATTCAGCAAAAGTTTCTTTATCTAAAATGAAAAAAAAATAATTGGTAATTAATTGAAAATAAAGGAAGCCTGTCAAAGCACCTCACCCGTAACTACGGGACTCCTAGAAAATTTTCCCGAGTTTTTCCCATTAAAATTAAAAAATACTTACAAAGCAAATTTCGTTGAACAAAATATTCCTCGTCAAGCACTAAATGAGATTCAACAATAGAAGATTTAAGCTCAAAAGAATTCCAAATTTCAACATCCCGCCCAGACTGTTTTCCAAGAATTGCCCCACAAACCTTTAAAAATTAATTAAAAACATAAAAATTAAAAACCATTTTTGGATCATCATTTTGTACGCGAGCCCTCGTCCATTGGTCAGAAATATTTAAAACAACAACTGGATGAATTAAAGCAGAAATACTTGATAAACTATTGTCCTTTCGTTGAGTCATTTTACAAAAAATATATCTTGGATATAAAAGAAAATGTCTGTAAATGTATAAAATTTTGTGAAATGTTAAAAAATGAAAATAAGAAAAATGAAGTAAAAATTGGGTGGACGATTGTGATTATTGTCAAATACTTAACGAAGGATGGGTTCTAGAAAAAATCACTCTGCGACAAAGTTTCCGGTTATAAAGTGGACTTGCGACAAAGTAATCGCGACAAAGTGTCCGTCCTCTCGCAGAAAGGGGACGATTCGGAGTATAATAAATAAAGTACTGTATATAAGCTGTTTTTGAAACAATCTTCTCCAAAACTATTTTGTTGGAACAACACCCACCGCCGTTGAAATATTTCCCCGTTGTAATTTTTAAACTTAACCTCAATTAAATGTCCAAAATCCATTTAAACTTTATTGTAGGTAAAAATTAAACTATTTGGAATAATTTATTTAGAGAGATTTCATTTTATTTTACTCAAAGTTAGGGTTGGGAGCCCGATTCGGCCCGGTCCGAAAGATCGAGTCGGGCATCGAATTTTGGCCGAGAAAGACTCTGTCGGGCCGGCCCGATAAAAATGAGCCCAGAAAAAATAACACAAACGTCGACCCGACTCGAAAACCCTACTCAACGTTAAACTCTCCACTGTTCTTGTTTAGTTATTTACATACATAGACCTTCGTTCTTCGATCAACAAAGATGCGACAAATTGTAATCAAAGCATTAACGATTTTGACCCCTCCATGTACATAGATTCTCTCGCCAAAGGAAAAAAGCAAAAACATTTTTGTTTTGTGCAAAACCGGATATTTTCTCATCTTCTTTATCCTAACTTTCAATAATTAAAATCTTTTTATCTTCCGCCCCTTCTACGCTTTCATTTTAATATCGTGAAAATGCTTCCCGGCAAGCAAATTAGGCAACAACAAAACAAATTATTTGAACACATTATTTAATTTAAAAAATAAATTAACGATGAATTTTATTTCTTTCTCAATCTTTACTCTTTTAATTGTATTAATTTTGTATTTAAATTCTGCATTTAGTTATACATATATTTCATACCATAAACCTATGAACAAAGAACAACAGGAGTCGGAGAGGGTAGGAAATAATTTTTATTCAAAGTACCTACACGTCTTAATGATAATTTTTATTTTTTAAATCTGTGGGAAAAGAGGTTCAATGAAATTTCATTTAAGAACAATACAAGAAATTATAAAACTAATTTATGTAAAAAATATTAAGATCCAGTCAATTGTAAGTAAGTGTTATCAAAATTCGTGCCGACAATGGGTATTGGAATGTCATTGGTTCTGTGATGCTATTCGAGGACTAGTACGTTTTTTATAATTTAAAACGAGATATTCAAACAATTTTATTTTTATAGAAAGACTATGAGAGATGCCTTGACTGCTTGAGAACACAAGGAATGGGTTGTTACGAATGTTTTGATCTTTAATATAAATTTAATTTTTAAATTATTTTAACAGTTTTTGTAAATAAAAATCTTTTTTTCAAATAATAATTGAATTTTTAATTGATTTTCGGTTAAAGTAAGTTAATTCGTTTAATTCCCGCCTGAATTATCGTATTATCTTTTCCAATTTAATCGTCCCCTAATAGAATAGAATGCCCGGCTCGTCTATCAGAGATCCTAGTTTTATTGCCTTTGACCATTTTTAATATTTTTGAAAGAGAAAAAAATGGGAAGAAAAAGATTTAGGTGTATAAACGCATAGCACCGAATTTTTTTAATGTGTAAAATTCATTAAAATAATTATTTATGCAAGAGTATATTTAGCTTCAGGCATTCTGCGACCTTAGTGTAAATGGTGCGCAAGAGCACGAATTAGCACACAATAGATTTTATTTAATGTAAGATTATTCTTTTTTGTTATTTCTTTGATTTAAAAAATATTTTAAGAAATTTTAGAATGAAAGTCAGTTTCTCTTAATTTTAAACTAAATTAATAACTATTAAATTTAAATGATCTAAAAGAGATTTTTAACGACCTTCCTTATGATTATTGCATATTTAGTGTTCAATATAATTGTGTCATCCGTTCGTTTTAATTCCCGCCGGGCATTAATATATGTATAAATAAAATGAGAAAATATTTTGTGTTAGGCGCCATATTTCTTCAAATCCATTGCAGAATTTTTTTGTTCAAAAAACATGTTTTCCAAAATTTTTATTATTCCATTTATTCTATTAAATATCATCAATTTTCTAATTGTACCAGTCGAATTGTTGATGAAAATAACGAAAGAACAGATTTTAGGGTTAGATGATTAATTCTAAAAAATTTTTGGGGAAATATTTTATTTTATCGAGAAAAATAAAATCGAAGGAAAAATCGAAGGACTATTACCAAATCGGTTCTGATATTTGCCGACATTGATACTCCCATAAGTAGATATATGCATTGGTATGTTAGTTCTGTATTAAAGATTTCGATTTTTATTAGAAATAGTTTTTCTGTATCGGTTTTGGAATTGTTTAACCCAGAATTAAGCGAAAAGTTAATCTAATTAATTTAGCATTTTAGGGAGCATCTAAAACCAATTCTCCATTCTCGTGCCAAACGTCAATGGCCTGGAGGATGTCAAGGTTGGGATTGTTCAAGCAGTAGTGAAAGCTATGAGGAATACAATTGGAACGGATAATAGATTTTTAAAAACACTAAATTTACATCAAAATTTAATTTATTTAAAATTTATTGAGAATAAAATAAGAATAATTCAATAAGAATTTTTTAAAAATTGTCTTTAATATATGAGTATGGAATAAATTTAAAAAATGAAACAATTAGTAAATAAAAACATTATTTAAGTAGCAAAACAATTCAACTTCATCTGTTATTTAAAAAACAAGTAGTTAAAAGTTTGAAAATGTTGAAGATAGAAGTAAATTATTTTTAAAAAATGGTTATTTCAAAATTTCTTAAATTTTTTGTTCATATGCCCATCAATAGAACCAAAAACATCTTTTAATTGTTGAAAACCTTTTGATTGATTTTCAAGCTAAAAAGTAAAATGAAATTTTAATTTTTAAAATCAAGATTGACAGAATTTGGTTAATTTCTTATTTTTAAGGGATTATGATCAACATAAAAACAGTTTTTGCCAGACTCGACTAGAAAAGCTTGAGAAAGAGAAAAATTTGAAAATAAATTTTAAAAAATTATAATTATACTTAATCCTCTTACCATTTCATTCAATTTATTATTTTCAGTTTTAATTTCATTAAATTTTGATACCAAATTTTTATTCAAAATAATTAATTCTTCAACTTTTTTCTTTTCTTCTTCTAATTCTTTTTCCTTAATTTTAATAAAACCAAGAGCGCTTTTCTTCTCTTCTTCAAGATTTTCAACTTTACTTTTAATTTTCTAAATAAAAATATTGAATTAAATTTAGAAAAGAAGGATGGGATTTTCTCTTTGACATATTTATTCGTATCATATCAAAATGAAAACCTCAATTTCCTCTTCATATTTAGTTAAATTTTTCAATTTTTCATTTTTTAATTTAATATTTTCTTCATGCATTATTGCCATAGCACTTTGAGTGAGTCTTTCATAAAGTTCTTTATTTTCTTTTAATTTTTCAATTAATTTTTTATCGTTTTCATCTTTCTTTTTTTTCAAATTTTCCAATTCTTCTAAATTAATTACAAAATTATTAATTTGAAATGCCTTCTCATTCTCTTTAATTTGTTGTAAAGATTTAATCCTTTCTTCATCAATCCTTATATTAAATAAGAATTAGAAAATTAAAAAGATTTTACATAAATTAATTTAAAAATTAACTAAAAACTAATTGACATAAAATTAAGGTACATTTCCGTTATCCCTACAACTTTTTTGCGGGCTTTTCCTTCTTTTTGCGGAGAAAAATATCTGGTTGGCTCTATTTGGTTTACTTTTTTGCTTTTTGTTGGTGTGCCCAAAAGGGCATAAGCCCTCCACTATTTTTTCCATTTCTCTCACCTATTTAATTTTACCGCCCGCAATTTATTTTGTTTTTAACCACGCCTACCTTTGGCTGTCAAGTTAGCGCTCGGCTGTCCCTAAAATCACTTCTTTCAATCCTTCTTTCAATTTCCAACTTCTCTCAAAATCTTATAATTTTCTAATTCCTTTAAACCCAATCAATTAAACCAACTTTTCTCCCTTCAACTGGGAGCAGGAGAGCGGAGCACTAACTTAAATTATTTGTTCGCATTTTCACCACATATTTTAATCACCAATTTATTCACACCGCGGATCCCGAGCTGTTATCGGACCGCTAAATTTATTTGTTAATTAAATAAATCTTTTCTTCTTTGGTGTGTGTATTTTTGGGGATTTTGGGTAGGCTGTCGTCGTCATCATCGCTTATAAGTTTAAGAGAACTTTTGAGTTCTCTGTCCTCCCTTTATAAGCGTCCGTCCCTCCCATAGCCGGAGGCCGTACAAATTGTGTGTCCACCCGAAAGGGCTTTTGGGCACATATAAAAATTGGAGCCCCGTACGGGTCCGCAGTCCAATCGCACTGCCCCCGTTTCTTCAGGCAATTGTGCCAATCAACACGTCTGCCTTTTTAGGCTAAATTTTGTGTTCTCATCCTGAACACGCGGTTTTGGCCACCAGAGCCAACCGTTATCTGCTCATCAGCCAGCAGCACACGAATACTTACTCTTGGAGAGTAAGTCAACATTTATCTTCTCACAAGTCAGCAGTTCACGAGTTCATCATCTATTACTCCTGGAGAGTAATCCTTAAGTCGGAAACTATCCGATTCACAGCCTTACCCCACAAGCCCGCACAACAAAGTGCGCAAAGTCGTGATCCCTCAAGCGGACCGACATACATTCACGCTCCTTGAAGGACGCAGTTTTTTCCGCGAACAAACCCGCTCATCCCCTTTTCTACAATTTCAATCTTTGCTCTTTGCTAGCAATTTTTTTGTGCTTATTTTGCACATTTTTCTTGAAAGAAGTCATTCCTTTGTTTACCAAAACTTAGGTCTTAACACATTTCATCAGTTGTGCACATTTTTGCACAATTTTACACGAAAAACAAGAAAGGAATTTATTTGGCCAAATCATCGGCCAATCAACAAGTTTACAAGTTGGTGCATTTTTGCACATTTTTTGAGAAGAAAAGGGACACGAAAGCCTTTTCTTTTGTTTGGCCATAACTTTGGCCATTCACACGATTGGCGCATTTTAGAGCGCGGCAACACGAGTTTAAAGAACACTGACTTTTCGCTCTGTGAGCAAGTCATTTCTTTTGTTTTGGCCAACCCGTCGGCCAATTACACGGTTAAGTCAGAGCGACTGACTTTACATTTTTAGTGTTTATTTACATTTTTCACACATCTGCGTTTATTTTTCTCTTTTGAGAAGAGAACTTTGTGCTGCCACTTACCAGTCGCGGTAAACATCAATTTAGCACAAAATATACCAAAAGTGCTCTCTTCTCATATTTTCATCAATTTTCTGACTTTGATAGTCAGTCTTCAGCGAGTTTATTTTTTTAGCTTAAAGGCACAAGTTCCTTAAGCTTTTGCGTTTTTGGACTAAATTAGCTAGTCCAACGCTTTTAAGCAGATTATTATAATCGCTTATCACAATGCCATCTTCAGGACATATTCGAAGGAAAATTGGGCTAGCTCTGAGAGCCCTCAAGGATCATATTATCGCGGCAACCACCCTTTTGGGTAATGAACAAGAAGCACAAAACCCGGCACGCCTCCGGGCTGAAAGACATCAGTTGATTCGCACACTTGAGCGAATAGAAACTCTCGATCACGAGTGGACAGGATTTATTGATCTCCTGGATGGAGGAGATTTGGAAGCTGAGGAGCAGCTGTACAATACGTTTCCTCCTAATGTACAGGAAGGACAAGTGTGGGTCCATTTCATGGACTTCGCAGAACAGGCCCGAGGAATTATAGGCGAGTTAGACTTCCTCCTTTTGGAAATGGAGGAAAGAATTACAGAGGCTAGTGAGCGTAGTGAACGAACACGAGAGTCACAACGCATTCAAAGTCGAACTCAAGAAGAACAAAGCATTGGAGAAAACAAGGTCAAGGACACTCCTTTATTACCAGACACACGTTTACCAGAGCTCAAAATGGAGCCATTCAATGGAGATCCGAAGAAATGGCCAGCTTTCTGGCAATTATTTTCAATCAACATCGACCAACGCCAAATGGACAATGTTAGGAAAATGAGTTATTTACTCACCCTCCTCCAAGGTCCCGCTAAAGATTTAGTTGCGGGATTCATTTTATCCAACGAGAATTACACGAGAGCATTGGATTTGCTCAAATCACGATATGGCGATAATCGAGCCATCACTGAAGCACTAGAGTCGGAGCTCATGAATCTGAGCCCGCCAAATGAGTCCTGCCATTCAATTCGATCTTTCGTAGATTCGATTGAACGAATTTGCCGTCAGTTGGAAGCTTTCAATATTGTCGATCAATCTCCATTTATATCGACAGCCATCAAGTCCAAGTTGCCCCGCTCTATTGTCTCTAAACTAGTAGAGAAAGAGCGAGGGGCAGAATCTCGTTGGAATTGCGCTCAGCTCAGAAAAGAGCTTATCAACATTGTCGAAATCAAAGAAGAGGTTCAGCGATGTACAACCTCACAAGCGCCCAAAACACGAACTGAGACGACTGAGAACCACATTTCCTCTAGAAGAGGAAATTACCAAGCACGACAAGGAGCGCAAGAGCAATCTCGTACATTCATTGCTCCTGCTCACGTACACAAGAATAGACCATTTGTGAAGTTTGGACAGAGAGAATGCTCCCTATGTCATCAAGGAGCACACTTCCCAAGTAAATGTCCAAAATACCCGACGCCACAATCGCGTTTCAACCGGTTAAAGGAGCAGCACCGTTGTATAAGGTGTCTGCGCGAGGGCCACTCATTTAAGGAATGCCACCTTCCTATGTTATGCCGAATCTGTCAGGGCAAACATAGTTTTCTCGTCTGCACCACATCAACAACGAGGAACCATACACGACTTAACAAGACGAGCAAGAAGGGGACTGCGCCGAATAGGCAGTTTACCCAAATGACAACCACGATTGAGACTCCGTTGACTGGAGCTAATTTAACACAAGAGGATCCTCCCGGCTCGGAGAGTGATCCAACTAAGACAGTTGCAGCCATGGCATTTCCTCACTTGCGCAAAAAGTTATCAGCGTACCTAATGACACGAAAATTGGCAGTAGAATCGCCAGAAGACAAGAAAAGCAGAACACTTGCTTATGTGTTCTTTGACCCGGGCAGTCAGCTAAGTTACATCACCAAGGATCTAGTGGACAAAATTCGTCCACCTCAAATATCAATCGACGACGTCGAAGTACACGGATTTGGCGGAACAATGAGAGATCCAATCAGAATCCGCTCACCAACATATGCCGTCTCAATCAGAAGAGAGGACGGTGGTTGGGAAGAGCTCGAACTCAATTGGACCAAGGAGATAAGTACCCCTTTCGAGATGGTTCAATGGACGACAGAAATGCCCACTCAAGATTTAGATCACCCAGAAGTCCAGCAAGCACTCAAGATATCATCAGAAGTCCCAGGAATTATGCTGGGAACACGACACTTTTGGAAGTTTTTCAAGGAGAGAACTGAAGTCGCTCCAGGAATTTATGTCATTCAGACTGCCTTTGGTCCAGTAGTTGGAGGGGAGTCTGATATGAGTCCATATGGAGGACGACCTTCACACTCTATGATAGCGATCGGCAAGTCTAATATTGACCAAATGCCTCCTTCCAATATTATAGAAGAATTCTGGAATTTGGAGGGGATAGGGATTACAGAGGATCCCGGAGCTGACGATGACCAAATCGCTGTTAAACAGCTAGAGTCCTCGATTGCCCAAGATAACGAAGGGCGTTACACGGTAAGCTGGATTTGGCGAGAGCCAAAGATAACACCACCAAGCAACTACAGAATGGTTTATAGTCGACTTTGTTCAACTTACAGCTCGCTTGCACGATCAAAGGACCTTTTAGACAAATATCATCAAATCATTGTCGATTATCTTCAAAGAGGGATAATCGAGCCAGCACGAAAGAATCCAGTAGGACAAGAACATTATCTGGCTCACCATGCAGTTATTACTCATAAGGTGAGACCAGTATTCGACGCAAGTGCACATCCAAGGGGGCAACCTTCATTAAACGATTGCCTCCTCCGTGGTCCTGTGCTCCTACCAGAATTAGTAGGATTGCTCCTCAGATTTCGCCTACCAAAATTTGTGGCGATTGCTGACTTGGAGGCAGCTTTCCTTATGGTAGGCCTACACGAAGAAGACCGGGAAGTAGCCAAATTCCTTTGGCTGAAGGATCCGGATAAGCCACCATCTAACGACAATATACAAGTTTATCGTTTTGCGAGAGTTGCCTTTGGCGTTATTTGCTCCCCTTACCTTCTGGCGGGAGTAATACGTCACCATCTAGAGAAATACGGCACGACTACTGCTACTGAATTATCTAGTAGCCTTTATGTGGACAACCTTCATTTAGGAGCAAGTTCTCCAGAAGAATTAATCAGGAAATGCAATCAAGCCAAAATGATATTCTCGGAAGCGAAGATGAACTTGCGAGAATTTACCTCGAATTCACCAGACAATTTCTGCTATTCCTGACGAAGACCGACTAGACAAATCAGAGGTTAAGGTACTAGGAATGCAGTGGGATATACAAAATGACGAGCTCGGATTTCAATGGCCGAGTAGTCAAATCAGTCCCAATCCAACACGACGTACAGTATTAAGCACTTTAGCGGGCATCTACGATCCATTGGGACTATTGTGTCCAGCTGTTTTGCCCGCAAAGTTATTTTTTCAGCAATTATGGGATGACAAACACGACTGGGACACTCCACTTGCCTTGGAGGAAAAATCCTTTTGGGAGAGTTTCCTCCAGGGTTGGCAAGTTCAGGAGATTCGTCTGCCCAGAAAAGTCCTTAAATCACACGATAACATACAGATCCACGCGTTTGTTGACGCCTCTGCAAGCACATATGCTGTTGCGATTTTCTTGAGAGGAGAACTTAATAGCTCAGCCTCCTCTAACCTTATTTTTGCCAAAACCCGCCTTAAACCTAAAAAGGGTGGCAAAACACTCACAATACCACGAATGGAACTTATAGCTATACTTATTGGCGTAAGAGCATTGGCTTACGTTAATAAGGAGATAGGGAAACCAATTGACCAAGTTCATTTATGGAGCGACTCTCAAATAGCGCTCTCATGGGTCAAATCACCGCAAAATCAACCAACCTTCGTCCAGAGAAGGCTAAACGAAATTAAGAAGCACGAAGATATACACTTTCATTACGTAAGGACCGATGAAAATCCGGCAGATACAGCAACAAGAGGAGCCACTCCCACCGAGCTCCGTTCCGACCTAAGGTGGTGGAGAGGACCGGACTGGCTCATTCAGCCACAGGCTAATTGGCCTGAGGATATCACATTCCAATCATTCACGAATTGCGACCTCAATAAATTTGAGGAACTTGAAGAAAATCCCTTTAATACTCAAATATGCCTTGCGGCTCCAGAGACCTCTCAGGGAACTCATCAACTATTGAAACGTGTGAGTTCCTGGGGTAAAGCAAGGCGCGTTATGTTATACATCCTTCGGTTTATCAAAATAGTGCTCGGGAAGAAGAGAGCACAATCCATCAGATTGGATTCCATTTCTTTAAATGGAGTCCCCTCGACACGCGACTACGAAATTTCTGAAGAATATTTAATAAGATGGGAACAGAAAGAGTGTGGCGAGGAACTCGGTAAATACCGCCACATAATCGACAATAATAAGATCATGCATCTTCAAACTCGCCTGACGAATAGTCAGGGCCCCGAGGGTTTGATTCATCCAGTCCTACTCCCAAAACATTCAGATGTTGGGAAATCAATAATGAAAGACATCCACACACGGTTATGTCACGGAGGTGTAGATTGGACTCTTACAGAGTTCTTGAACAACTATTGGCAGCCAAGAGCTCGCCAAGCTATCCGCAAAGTTATATCAGAATGTATGGCTTGTAGGAGGATGAATTCCTACAAATATGCTTTACCAACAATGCCACCACTTCCAGCAGACCGAGTCCAGCAAAGATTGCCATTCCAGTCAATTGGAGTGGATTATGCTGGTCCGACACTCACTAAAGTCCAAGGCTCCCTCGTAAAGTGTTGGCTAGTCTTAATTACTTGCCTCACGACAGGAGCAGTTTATATTGAGCCTACATTGGATTTAACATCCGCCTCGTTTCTCAATGTTTTTCGCCGTTTCATCAGCCGGCGTGGACGTCCAGATCGCGTACTTAGTGACAATGGACGTAATTTTGTTTTAGCAGAAAAAGCCTTGAGCGCTGCTCTCGTCTCCCACCTAGCAGAGAACAAAATCGAGTGGAAATTTATTCCAGCTCTCTCTCCTTGGGCAGGCGGAATTTATGAGAGGCTCATAGGCATGGCAAAAACTTGTTTTAAAAGGACGATGGGAAGACAAGTACTCCCATATGATAAACTCGCAACATTCACGGCTGAGGTTGAAGCCGCTCTAAATTCAAGACCTTTAACTCACACATCAGATGAGGAAGGAGCTCCTCTTCCTTTACGCCCGGTGGATTTCATCCAACCTGGAGCTACACTCAGTTATGACCTCACGTTCAAGAAAATCAAAAGGGACAAACATGTTCTCCCTCACGACCAGCTCCTTACATTGTGGAAGAGCACTTTAGAAAATCTTGATTCCTTCTGGGAACGGTGGAAGAGAGAATATCTGGTTATTCTGCGTGATCGCTCTAAATGGGAGCACTCTGGCCCAAGACTTCAGACACACTCAACTCCTAAATTGGGAGAAGTAGTGTTAGTAGAAGACATCATGCGACCAAGAAATGCATGGCTTTTAGCCAGAATTATAGGGCTAAATGGTCATCCAGGCCCTATAAGGAGCGTTAAGCTCCAAATGCCAAATGGTCGAATAACAACACGACCTGTTAACAAGATTTGCCCACTCGAAGCAGGGCCAGAACAAGCCGACACACAACCAGTCAGTAATCCTGTAGAAAGCTTTACTCCTATTGAGGAGGAGCAGGTAGAGGGGCCTGGGCTCCTTGAACCACAAGAGCAAGATAATCAGTTGATCGAGAATCAGCCTCCCACAACTATCGTTAATCAGAAACCAAAAGAACCTGCAGCTTTGGTTTCAAAACACAAGATGGTCACGAGAGGAAAGGCAAAATTAGGCATTCAATCAATTTTAGCCGCTTGCCTTTTAACCTTCATAATTAATCCTATATTTGGATTCACTTCGCCAATTAAATGTGAAGGCTGCCCAACTTGCCATGGATGCTTAGTCCATTGTAGCAAGGCTGGGGTAAATGTCCTTTCACCGCCAAAAATAAGCAAAATCGAAATTTGTTGCTTAGACCGATGCCAATTACTACCAGGCCAAGAAGAAACAATTCATCAGCTTCCCAAAGAAATATTGGTTAATGACTATACCTGTCATGCCAAATTTTGGGACACAAACCGAGAAATACCATTTGAAGTTAGTACGAAATGTTTAGCATTCCACCAATGTCAACTAGTGGATTGCACATTTTGCCTCGATTTACTAACAAATCCAACGTGTAATCCAATGGCTGCTGCATTGGTTCTAATTGGAATTTGTTTTCCTCTCCTTCTTGTATTAAGTTGTTGCTGTAAATCACTCCAAACACTGCTCCGTCCATTAGGAGTAATTTGGAGACTCACGCGCCCCCTTTATATTTGGGGGAGAAGAAGAGGGAGCAAAGCATTAAGCAAGGGACGAGAATATGTACGGGAAAATCAAACAAACATTAAGGAAAATGCACGAAAATTCAAGAAAGGAGCTCAAAAGAGGGGCAAGGAAATGAGGCAAGCGAGTCTTGCTCGATTAGCACGTTATGGCATAATACCGGCTCTCCTCTTGCTCATCGCCCATTTAATTATCGGAGAACCAATTTCGATAATTTCACAAACAGAGAATTGTCGAGTACGAGAAGGTACTCGAATTTGCACGATTTTAAGCTCCACAACATTGAGCTTACTACCAGCAGGGCAACCAACCACTCTTCTAATCAAGGATAGAAGAGGAGACATTTTGGGAGCATTAATGCTCACCCTCAAAGCTCTAACGATCAATTGCAATCCAAGGACACTCACATATTTGCGAAGCTACCGTATAAGTACCAGATCAGTATGGAGATGCCCAAGTGGCGGATCATGTTCTGGTAGCTTCTGTTCACAAGTAGGAGCAAACACACACATACCCGAACTAGTCGAGGTTATGGACAAGCCCGGGAGCAGTGGCTGTTTGGAATCCTCCGCTCTATGGAGTAAAGGATGCGGATTTCCAACTGCCAGCTGCTATTTCTACCGTTGGTATGCTATCCCTATGACTCTCGATGTTTTTGAACTTTTCGAGTGTCCTACTTGGGATTTTCACATAAAGACGACATTACAACTCACTGTTAATGACCAAATGGTAGAGGAGACAGTCACATTACATCCGGGATTAACCCATCATTGGGCCAACATATCTCTTACGCCAATATCAGTGACAAACCCTCCAGCTCCGGTTTTGAGCACTCCATTCCTTACTCATGGATTTTCGGTTGCTCTAGGAGATGGAGTTCCAACAGACCTCAAATGTCAAGATAGACCAAGTGTAGCCAGGTTTGGCTGCAATATTTCAGCAAATACCTGTAAAGATTGCCGTCCTACACCCGACGGATCAATTACATGCCAGTGTAGAGAATTTGACGGGGAAGCAATTTTGGCAGACCCCGCAAAACGATTACCTCTAACTATTGGCCGACACACTTTTCTGACTGAAGACGACCAAGTATACGTCGAACAGTCATACACACCCTTACAGATCAACCTACAAATGAATAATTTCCAGTTAGTGACAGAAATAACCGAGTCCACTTGTCGAATTGTAGTAAATGACGTTAGTGGCTGTTATCGCTGTTTAACAGGAGTTCAAATCAAATATTCGTGTTCGACCGATTTTGGGTCGTCACTTGCCGATATCAGATGTGATGATGGAATTCACTTTATTGCTCGCTGTTCCTTTAATGGAACTGAAGGAGCAGCGCATTTTGCCTACAATAGATCAAAAATTGACACAGAGTGTCAAGTCAAGTGCCCAGGAGGAAATAGTCAATTACACATCAAAGGACAGCTCTTATTTATTCCAATACAGTGGAAGCAAGAGCGAATTATCCAATCAAGTAAAGGTGAAAAATCCTCAGCATGGAATTTTAATCCATTAAGATTTCACCCAATTTCACTTATAATGACAAGTTTACCATTGCCATCTCCAATATATGTATTACTAATATCCATTTTAGTAATAATTACAATTTATAGTATTCTGCGTTTTAAATTCGCAGTTTGGAGAAAAATGAGCTCTCTGCTCATCACAAGTTTAATAATAAACAATTTTGTCGTCGAGGGGGAAGGGGCTTGGCGCCCATTATTAGTTTTTGGCAATCATAGCCATTCACCCCCATCCACTCATATTTATTCAGAAATCACGACCTACCCACTCTCAGAACAAAAAGAGAAAATTTTGGATGGGCACGAGCAAGCCAAACAGATGGCAAGCCAACTTAAATTGTTTGCCACTCACCCATTCATTAAAAATAAATTTTTGAGTCATTCTTTGATTCAACTAACTTTTGGCTCTTTTCGTCTTTTGTTTATAAGAAAAAATTTATTTTTTTATACAAAAGAATGTGCAAAAACACTTAACTTAGTTTTGCACACCGCCAAAAGCCATCAACACATTTCCATCTCTAAACTTTTGTCAAAGAAAGGAAAAATAAATTTTTTCTCTCCTTTTACAAAAGAAGGCACAAAAATAGTCAATCCACATCTGGGTAGAAAAAAGAGCGCTCACTGCTTTAAAAGCAAAGCGTACAAAAAAGAAGAGTTTGGGCCAATGTTCACAACTCCGCCCAACTTAAGTTGTTTATCCACTTCCCCCAGAGAATGTTTTTTCATTCTCATTTCAACAAAAATATTTTTAAATAATATAAATAAATTTAAAATAATTTATACTGCGATAATGCCGCTAGGCGATTTCTTTGCTGTTCCTCCTCGCAAACCAGGGGAATCTAAGGATGAATATTTGCAAGCTTGCCTTGCTGTTGGATATACTCCCACTCCTCCGGAGAAAGGTCAGAGTATGGCTGATTATATTCCGAAAGAGTTGGGATTGGTTTTTTTCGACTCCTTGTGTGGAAATGAAGCACGCCGTAGGGGAGAAGGCCTGCTTACGTTTTTCTGGGAAAACCTCAGATGCCATGGAATTCCTTTGCCTGATGAGGAACCATGTTTAAGCCGGGCAGCCAGGGAGGAGCTTGTTGAGCCAAATTTAACCGTGGCTCAATTTTTTCGAAATAAAGGAAGGGCCTTGACACACCCGGACCTCCCCTGCATTATCATTAAGGGGGGAATCCGTGGCTCGTCAAGAAAGAGCCGAAGACATGCTAGAGTTGTTGGACACCAGTGTTGGAAGGTGGGAGAGTCCCACAAGAGCTTCTTTCCATTGGAGCAAATCATTTACGATCCGACTGAACCGGATCCAAGTTTTGGAGGAAATGCGGCCACGGGTTTCACCCCGCCAAGCTCACCGCCACCAGAATTACCACCAGGAGAAGGCCCATCAACTGAGGAGGAACACGCAAAAGAAAAGGAAAACAATGAGCTTAAAATTAGCTTTCCGCGAGGAGGACCCCCGATTCGCGCGCTTTCAATTTTATTTGCTATTGCGGTTTTTACCGTTTTTATTAATGGAAATTTCGCTTGTTGCTTTAACTCACCCGATATTTCTCTCTCTCCTTTTAATTCTTTCTTGCCTATAGAAATGAAAAAAAATTCTACTGACAACAGCAACAGTAAAGCTAATAAAAAGGCAAAGGAGAATCTTTATTTAGAGGTTTTCGGTCCACCAACTTCGGCTGCGCAGCAGCAAGAAATGGAACAACATTTAAAAGAAATTAATGTTGAGCAACTTCTAGAAATTGGAAATAAACCAGCTATTGCGGTGGCACCAGAAGAGTTGGACAACGAAAGTTTTAATTCCACCACCAGTACTTTATTGAAAGCAACATCGGAAATTATTAAAAATAAAGAAATTAATCAAATTAATTCTGCTACTCAAAATGGAAAACAAATTGTCGAGAAACAACAAGAAAAGAAAGAATCGCCCGCAGCAGCAACTAAACAAAACTCATTGGTTGTTTCTGTAGGTGAGGGAAAAATTGAATTGGGGGAGAGTAATAAAGGGAACATTTTAATGCCAGATCTGAAGGCTAAGTTGGAAAAAGAGCGTTTAAAACAAGAGAGGCAAAACCAGAAAAATCAAAGCCTCGTTGAAGCGTTCTTTTCCTTTGCGCAGAAACTGACTGCTCAACAAACAGTAGTCAACGCGCCAGCAGCCATGGGGGGAGTTTGTGAAAAGACCGCCACTCATAAGGAAGCGGTCAATAAATTTGCGGTGGCCACTCCCGCTGAATCAAAGTGGAAATGTTCTTCTTCATCTGGGCGTTCTAACAGTGGAGAAAGAGAAAAGACTTTAGGTGAGCAAGATCGGGGAGATCGCGTTGAGTCTAATGACCGTTATTCCCGTTCAGGTTCTGGGCGTTCACATTGGGGAGTTTCTGATCAACATACAGAAACTCTGCGAAAGGTCCGAACTACCACGGGTCAACTTTGCGGTCAGATTTCTGATGCAATTCATTCTATGGAATCTGGTCGAGCCAAGTTGACGAATGAAGAGGAACATGACTTACTTGCTATTGATGGGGCCGCGAAGAGACTGATGAAATCGATTCATATTGCATTTGGACACTCACGTCGTTCTCGATAAACATTTCTTGTTTTGCCGGGGGGAGTGTGCCCAAAAGGGCATAAGCCCTCCACTATTTTTTCCATTTCTCTCACCTATTTAATTTTACCGCCCGCAATTTATTTTGTTTTTAACCACGCCTACCTTTGGCTGTCAAGTTAGCGCTAGGCTGTCCCTAAAATCACTTCTTTCAATCCTTCTTTCAATTTCCAACTTCTCTCAAAATCTTATAATTTTCTAATTCCTTTAAACCCAATCAATTAAACCAACTTTTCTCCCTTCAACTGGGAGCAGGAGAGCGGAGCACTAACTTAAATTATTTGTTCGCATTTTCACCACATATTTTAATCACCAATTTATTCACACCGCGGATCCCGAGCTGTTATCGGACCGCTAAATTTATTTGTTAATTAAATAAATCTTTTCTTCTTTGGTGTGTGTATTTTTGGGGATTTTGGGTAGGCTGTCGTCGTCATCATCGCTTATAAGTTTAAGAGAACTTTTGAGTTCTCTGTCCTCCCTTTATAAGCGTCCGTCCCTCCCATAGCCGGAGGCCGTACAAATTGTGTGTCCACCCGAAAGGGCTTTTGGGCACAGTTGGCTTACTTATTGGCTCGCTTATCTCATTTATTGTTGCAGTTACACTCGCGGACAAAAGTATTGCCTGCCCCAAGGTGTTGGAAAAATTTCTCTTGAAAATAACTGCCAAAATTTCGAAATAATTTTCAGCTTGTTTTTCCCCAAACAATCCCCTATTCATTGGCTTCAAAATAAGCACAAAATGTTTGTCTAATTGTTAATATTAAAAAAGATCTGGGATAATAAATGAAAGTAGTCTACTACAGTAGGTTCAAAAATAACTTACTTAACTCCATGTGGTGGGTCTGCTTTTATATCAACAAAAAGAACGATAGTATCCACCTTCTCATCATACCAGCCTTCTTCAGGGTTCATAATTTCCTAAAATTAAAAAGAAAATTTAATCAAAAATCTTTAAAGATTACTTCAAAAGTCATAAACTGTGGGAAACCCCAATTGAGCTCTTTTGCACTGAATACATGGGTTAATTTACGAACATAATTTTCTTTCCCTGGTTTTTGTGTAAGAATTTTAAGAGTAGCTTTAGCAGAACAACTCCAAGAAGGATCTAAAATTGAACATAAAATAAATATTGCCAGCTAAAATATAATTTCAATAAATATAAGGACCTGCATCCCCATGATTACACTGTAGAAAGTAACCAAGACATGTTTGTTGGCGGCCTTCAGCAGGATGAGAAAACATTTCTTGTGGTATAGCCAAAATTTTCCAAGGCAATCCACGAATATAAACTGGATCGCTCAGTCGACTCTTTGGCCCTTCATGAGCAAACTCACTTAATTTTTCAAGTTTGAGTGTAATCTGACCTTCTGATTTGTATGGATCTATTCATAAGAATATTTTAATGAGGATAGAAGTGTTTAAAACCTTTGTCACCGTTCGATGTTGCGTTCAGAACATCTGTAACACTATCAACTTCCATTTTCTTGTCAATAATTCACAATACAGGAAAAATATTTAAAACAAGTAAACAACAAATTCTAAAAATATTTTTTAATGTTTTCTGTATAATAAAAAAATTATGTATTTTAAAAAAGAATGTGGCGCTTGCCATTCATTCCTTACATTTTATACAAAAATTTAATCTTTGTTTGATAAGTTGCCAAAAGCAAACCGAGGGAAACTTTGGGAAAAATAAAAATGCTAATCACCAGATTAACATTTACTAAAATTTTTATTTAAAACTTTAATACATAATTCAAATTTACACTTATAGGTCAAAGGTATGAAATATCCCTGGGCAAGGGGGGCCAACAGCAAGCATCCATAAGGAGAAAAGAAATTCTCTGCAAATTAGGAGTTATATTTGTTTTATTTAATTTTCAAACCTATTTAATTGCCCACCACTCTTTTATATGACAGTTTAGAAAATGCTAATTTATGTTGTTTGGCCCATCATTGCTAACCCCGCTTAAAGAGATTTTTAACCGTTTTCTTCGCCCTTTTGTTCTTTTCAATAACCTTTACACATTATGTTTGGCCAACTCTTCTCTAACCAAAACTGTGAAATTCTTTTTATAATATTATGCACAATCTTTTGGCCTATTCCTTTTCTTTCTTTTTCAATGATCCCTGCTCAGTAAAACCCTTTGTGAGCAATATTTTGTGTAATGTATTTTGATCCCCATGATTTTCCCAAATACACACTCCTTTTTATCCGACTATAAAATGCTTTTTGCGCAGCTTTATTCAGTTTTTGAACTATTCAGCTATCCAATCTCCCCGTTTAAAGTTAAAAGTTTGAACTACAATTTTCCTCCCCTAGAAGATTTGTTATTGAAAGTTTCTGAACTATTCCTTCTCCCCGTTTAAAGTTAAAGCTAAAGGGGTAATAGTGTCGTTTCCCAGCCCCATTTTTTCCTCCCAATTTTCTACCCTATGTTTGTACGGAATGGTCAAATTTTCCCCTTTCTTTCATCAAATTTGCCTTTCCATATTTTGCCTAAAAACAATCAAAAAGATTAATTTGTGATATTTAAAAAAGTATTAGAGTAATGAGAAGAATCATTTTCCCAATTAATAAAAATGGAAGAACTAAAGAATTTCAAACCTATTGATTTATATGAAAAATTACGTTTGAGTGATAATGATTTCGATGCATGGCTTGAGAAGCTTGGACTTCTTCATGGAAAGAGAACTTGCTACAAATGTGGGGGTCGAACAACAATAAGTGTTAAGAAAGACGAAAGATATGGATGTTGGCGGTGTACAACCAGAAATTGTAGAGCAAGACAAGGTTCTTTTTTCAAGTTTTTTTAAAAAAATCTTTACTCTAAGGTTATTTATGTGGTACCTTCTTTGAAGGTACGCATCTGACCACAAAAAAGGTATTTCATCTTTCTTATTTATGGGCATATAGACTTGGTACATATGATTACATAGAGTTTGCAACTGGTATTAGTAGGCATCATGTCTCACTTTTTTATCCTTGTGAAAGAAATGAATAAAAAATTAATCTTTTTGATTGTTTTTAGGCAAATTATGGAAAGGCAAATTTGATGAAAGAAAGGGGAAAATTTGACCATTCCGTACAAACATAGGGTAGAAAATTGGGAGGAAAAAATGGGGCTGGGAAACGACATCATTACCGCTAAAGGTTTTTGAACTATACATTTCCTGCAGATTTTTTCTCCCTGTTTTGACTATCCGTTCCTTTACCCAGTTAGATTTTGAAGTTAATCCCCCTTTGATTTTCTTTATAAAAGTTTGTTCTCTAAAAGATCTGGGCCTTCTATTTTTGATAAAAGAAAAGATAATATTCTGTTAATTTAAATTTGTTGGTCTCCTTCCTTCCTCTATATTTTAAAGAAAGATTATTTTTGTTAGTTTAAATTATTTGTTTGGAAAATTAAAGTTAAATAAAGTTTTAATTTGGTTGTTAGATTTATTAAAATTAAGTTTTAATTTTTTCCCTTATTCGAAATTTCCGAATTTCGACATTCCGTCAAAAATAAAAATTTAATGCAAACAATGTTCTCGACCATGGTCGCAGGTTCGAGTAATTTTCTTAATGTTGGTAATGAATTAAGAATTCCAAAGAAATTATTAATTTTAAAAAGAAATTTAGGGAAATAATAAACATTTTTTAGCAATCATTCAAATTTTTATTTAAGACAATAGCTAAGTTTAATGAGTTAATTGTGTAACAAATTGTTTTTAAAAAGTGGATAAATCAGCAAAGTGAAAATCGAAAATTTTTTTGTTCATATTTCATCCATAAAACTGAAGATATTTTCAATTGTTGAGGATCTTTTGGTTGATTTTTAAACTACAAAAGAAAAAAATTAGGGATATTAAAAATAAGTGAATAAAATATTTTTAAAAATTAATTTTGGTAGAATTTGGCTATGAGAATATAGTAAAAATTTGTAATTAAAGTATAATTTCAAAAAAATTTATTTTAAGCGTATAAATTTTTAATAATTAAATTTTTGTTGATTCTTTACTTTTGTATTTAATTTAATATTTTCTTTAACTAAATTAATAATTTTACCTTCATTAATTCTTGATTCCAAATTTTTATTCAAAATGGTTAATTCCTCAACTTTTTTCTTTTCTTCTTCTAATTCTTTTTCCTTAATTTTAATAAAATCAAGAGCACATCTCTTCTCTTTTTCAAGATCCTCAACTTTACTTTTAATTTTCTGAATAAAAAGACATGTATTTATGCAGATTGAAATAAGTTTAAAAAAGTGAAAAGGCCTCTTAATCACCAGATTCCCTGATATTGATCCTAATCCAAACAAATCACCATGATCCCTGTAATTCCCCAGGTATCACTCCTATGAATTCCCCAAATCACTTCAAGTTTTTAACTGCCCCAACCCGATACCCGGCTTTTTTAGACCCAAAACCCGATCCGAAAAAAATTTTAAAAACCCGACCCGCTTTTTCTCTCAATCCGGGGCACCCCTGGATAATACTTATCAAAATATACTTATCAAAATATTATTTTGGCAATCCCGGAGAATTGGGGTCCCTGCGGAAAAAAATCTTAAAAATAAGAAAAAGGATTTTTCTAGGGTAAAAAAGTATGCTGATTATGAATCTGAACTCAGATTTTGAAAAAGTCGAATCCCGAACCCGAACCAAATTTCGAACCCTGAACCCGAATTTCGAATATGCAAATGATAGCTCATTCGAAAGAGCTCGTCGAGCTGAAAATCCTCAATAACTAAGGATTTTCCTTAGTTATTATACCCATGTATAATGAAATTACTTTAATTTCCTTTTCATCTTCAGTTAAATTCTTCAATTTTTCATTCTCTTCTTTTAGTTTAATATTTTCTTCATTAATTATTGCAAATTGATTTGCATTTTGAGCAAGTCTTTCATAAATTTCTTTATTTTCTTTTAATTTTTCAGTCAAATGTTTTTCACACTTTTCCTTACTTTTCTTCAAATTTTCCAATTCTTCTTTTATTTTAATTAAATTTCCATCAGAATTATCAATTTGAATTTCTTTCTCCTTCTCTTTAGTTTCTTGCAAAGATTTAAGTCTTTCTTCGTCAATCCTTATATTATAATAGTTTAGTTAATATATATATATAAAAAAAGTTACTTTGCCTATAAAAGTAGTGGTAGTTTAGCTACGTGACTTTCAAAAACCTAGAACTTTTTACAGAGTTGAGATATGAATTTGGGACTTTGACATCTTGCTGGGTACTTTTTATGGGTCATCTGGGAAAAATGTTGTTTTTTCAATAATTGCCCCCCTTGGTACCTAAATCGCATAGATACCGGGGATATCTCCGGAACGGATAAAGATAGCGGAAAAGTTCCGCTTGGAGGGCACTGGAGCATGATTTGGAGATGCTGAAACAAAAAAACCCGAGGTCGAAATCCCAAGTCTAAAGGTCGATATGCCTGACACAAAATTGGTTTTTCGGTGAAAAGTCCGATTTTTCGGAAATGACGAAATCCTGGGGGCATATCTTATAGGTGAGAGAGAAATTGTGATTGGCAGGTGAAAAAAATAGTTGAAGCAAGTTTAAACTTGCAGCAGAAGCAAGTTTAAACTTGAAGCAGGGTAAACAAATGAGGAAACACGAAGCAAAGTCGAAATTAGGGATCCGGGATTTTCGGGATTTCAGAGTATGGGTGAGTAGGTAGTCGTTTGAGAGCTGGGAGTGAGGGGAGTTGAACGGGATAAGGATAAATGTCGAATTTTCTTTAAAGTGAGGAAATCCTGGGGGCAAATCTTATAGGTGAGAGAGAAATTGTGATTGATAGGAGAAATTTCGAGTTGAAATAGTGGGATTTCGAAGCTGAAGCAAGTTTCGAGTTGAGGGAGGGTAAGTTGAAGCAAAATAGGGGGAATTCGAAATTAGGGATCCGGGATTTCGGAATTTTTAGGGATTTTGGAATATGGTCGAATGTGTAGTCATTCGAAAGCGGATAATGAGGGGAGTTGAATGGGATAAATAGTAAAGCCGAAAGTCGAAGTTCGGAGTTCGAACTTCGAAATCCGGGATTTTCGGGATCGGGAAGTATGGTCGAATGAGTACTCATTCGAGAGGGGATAATGAGAGGATCTTAGTGGGATAAAGAATCAAGCCGAAAGTCGAAGTTCGAAGTCGAACTTCGAAATCCGGGTTTTTCGGGGTTAGGATATATGGATGAGTGGGTAGTTTCAAGAGGTGATAACGAGGGGAATTGAATGAGATAAAGCCGAAAGTCGAAGTTCGGAACTTCGAAATCCGGGATTTCCGGGATTGAGAAGTATGGTCGAAGTATGGTCGAAAAGTATGGTCGAAAGTATGGTATGGTATGTCGAAAGTATGGTCGAACTAAAAATTAAAAATTCTTTAATACTCATTCAAGAGGGGATAATGAGGGGAGATGAGTGGGATTATTAAAAATATCGAAACTTGAAATGTAGAATTCGAAGTTCGAGATTCGACATTTCTGGGATTTGAGAATCAAACGGATATAGGTGAACGAGTAGTCATTCTAAAGCATATCTAAAGGGGAATCCATTGGGATTAACCAACATTTCGAATTTCAAAGTTTGTAGTTCGAGATTTGGGATTTGAGTCTGGGACTGAAATGGTTTTTCGACCATAACTTTTCAAGAAAATTTTTTAGAATTTTTTCGTCTTCGGATTCGATCTCAGCGTGTTCGGTTTCTCTATAAAACACATTTTTTCTGTCAAAATTAAAAAATTTCTACCCCTCGAATTTTCAATATGGGTAACCCTTATGAAAAGTATTTGGAAATATTTTAAAAAGCATAACTATTTAAGGGATTGAGATTTTTGAATGGGATTTCGATTATAAAATAGTTCTTAAATTAAAAATTCTTTAAGGTAAAAAACATTTGAAAAATTCAAAACTGGAGCCGTAGGGGTCGATTTTTTAAAAATCCAAAATTTTTCGATTTCTTGAAAATTTTCTTGGTTTTTTGTTGTAAGATCGGTGTAAAAGTAGTTTCCCCGTATAGAGCAGATTTTTCCATATATAATAGGATTTTAAAATCTTCAAAAAAGGATACTTTGGGCCAGTTATGATTTTTTGAATATTTCAGTGATTTTTTCGGCCGAAATTTCCGGCCAAAAATTTATTTTTTCGAAAACCAAGATAGATATGGCGAATGATATATCATTTGAAAGCTCTCATCGAGCTGACTTTAAAAATATTTTTTTCGAAATTTTATGGGGCATTTTGACGAAAATACAGAGGTTCGAAAATTTGTGGGGTGGAGTACCGTATCAGGAGAATTATGGTAGGGAGAGAGAAAAAATGATTGACAGGTGAAATTGGTGGCAGAGAAGCTAAATTTTTCTCCGTCTCTGACCATGCAGGGCAAACCGGCGAAGAACTTAAATGTGAATTTTGTATATCTGGGCAAATTTTGTGGGTGATAAGCTGGATCAGGTGTAGATCCGAATCAGGAGCATCTATTGCTTCAGGTTTCTGCTTCAAGTTTCGAAATTTGAAACTTGAAGCAAATTTGCTTCATGTTTTAATTTTTTGAAGCTTGAAGCAGATTTGCTTCAGGTTTTGAAATTTTTGAAATATATTGAAATTTTTTCACGTTTTTGAAATTACTGCATGTTTTGAAATTTTTAGTTTTGAAGAAAATTTGATTAAATTTTGGTTTATGAAGCAAAATTTGCTTCAACTTTGAAATTTTAGTTTACGAAGCAAATATGCTTCAACTGTGGAAAGTTTTAAACTTGAAGCAATTGCTTCAACTTTTAAAAATTTTGCTTTTTAGCTGACAAAAGTGGAAGGATGAGTCCCAACTGAGGGAACACGAGGGCCGAAGGCCAAGTGACTCTAAGTGGAAGGATGAGTCTCAACTGAGGGAACACGAGAGCTTGAATTTTGGTTTATGAATCCGATTTTTGTGAGCTACGGGGGTAGGTCGGCAGAACAAGGCTGAAAACGGAAAAAGGATTAGGTTTATGTTACTGTTGTAGAACCCAGCGACCGTTGACACCCGCAAGGCGCGTGCCGCAAAACCCCGCGCGAAGCGCGGGGTTTTGCACAAGCGCCTTGCCGACGCTCCATAGGTCTATCAACATAAACCTATTCTTTTTTAATGTATTATTTAATAAATGTACTATCTAATAAGACGAGGGCCGAAGGCCCGAGCTGACACCCATCTAAAAAGGGATGGCGAGGGCCGAAGGCCCGAGCTGACACCCATCTAAAAAGGGATGGCGAGGGCCGAAAGCTCGAGATGACACCCATCTAAAATGAAGGGCGAGGGCCCGTGCTGACACCCCATCTAAAAGGGAGGGCGAGGGCCGAAGGCCCGAGCTGACACCCATCTAAAAGGGGAGCAAGGGCCGAAGGCCCGAGTTGACACCCATCTAAAAGTTGACACCCATCGGCTTCCCCAACGTGGGGAAGACGAGGGCCGAAGGCCCGAAGTGACTCTAAGTGGCATGATAAGTCGCATCGAGGGGAAGATGAAGGCCCGAAGTGACTCTAATTGGAAGGATTAATCCTAAAGTGTCTAAAAGTAAGGACGATTAATCCTAAAGTGTCTAAAAGTAAGGGCGCCTCCCTTTCCATCTTAAAGGGAGGCGAGGGCCGAAGGCCCGAAGCAATGAAAAGGCAGTCTAAACTCTTCTTCCAAGCATCAAAACTTTCTAGCAGCGCGCGAAGCGCGCCCCAAAGCCGATAAGCTTTCCAACGGGTAGAACAAAATTTGACCCAAAGTATCTTAAAGGCACCCAGCTATCCTCCGCCATCAGTGGTCAAACCCACAGCTAGTTAAACAAGTATACTTAAAATAACTTACTTAACTCCAAGTGGTGGGTCTGCTTTTACATTAACAAGAAGAATGATAGTATCCTCTTTCTTATCATACCAGCCTTCTTCAGGGTCCATGATATTCTAAAATTTAAGAAATATTTAATCAAAAAGCTTTAAAAAATTACTTCAACTGTCATAAACTGTGCATAACCCCAATCATTCTCCTTCGCATGAAATACATGGGTTACTTTACGGACATGATTTTCTTCCCCTGGTTTTTGTGCAAGAATTTTAAGAGCAGCTTTAGCAGAACAACTCCAAGAAGGATCTAAAATGGAATATAAAATAAATATACAATGTCAATAAATATAAGGACCTGCATCCCCATTATTACACTGTAGAAAATAACCAAGGCATCGGCGGTTAGGAAAACGAGCAGACATCTCTCTTGCTATAGCCAAAATTCTCCAAGGCAATCCACGAATATAAACTGGATCGCTCAGTCGACGATTATTAGGACTACTTTCACGAGCAAACTCACTAAACTTTTCGATTTTCAGAATAATCTGGCCCTCTGACTTGTATGGATCTGAGAAGAGTTTATTTATATGCAATACTTTAATGAGGATAGAAGAGTATAAAACCTTCTTCACCGTTAGTTCTCGCGGACAAAACTTCATCCGTAACACTATCAACTTCCATCTTCTTGTCAATAATTCACAATACAGAAGCAGAAAAGTTAAAGAAATTAACAACAAATTCTAAAAATATTAGGTACATACATATAACAGTTAAAATAGGTAATATATAAGATAGAAAGAAGCAAGCGTCTGCGCGGGATTTTAACGGATTAGTCATGCAGGCTAATTCAAACATTTCTAATTCAACAATTTCTCATTCAAACATTTTTGTTGTTAAATTGGCAAATTTTTCTAATCTGATTTAAGAAAAAACGCTTGACATTGATTTATTTACCTATTTGTCTTAATACATAAATGTATTCTTAATTAGAAGTTTGCCAAATATTGAGAAGAAAGGTAAAAGTTAGGGAATCTTTATAATAGAAACTTGTGAAAATGTAGTAAAAGTCAATAAGATTTCATTTGGTTATGTAATGATGATTCATCTATCACATTAAAAATTCTTATGCGGGGGTTAAACGATCTATAAAGAGAAAAAAGAAAGCAATATTAGTAGGGTTAGTTAGTAGGGCAACTGCAAAGGTGAAAGGGAACCAAGCGCTCACTGTTAGGGTGGTCGCAGGCAGGCAAAAATTCAAATAACGAAACACAAGGCCAAAAATTAACGCAAAAACGTAAAATTAAAAATTTTATTTGTAAACCACAACTCTTTCAATTCAACAAGTTGAATTACAACAACAACAAAATATATGAAAGCAACAAAAAGGAAAAAAATAATCAAAAATACATAATATTATTTGCTCATTTTTTTAATTTGATTCTGTGCAATTATGTAAATAATTTAATTTATTAAATAAAAATTCACAATTAAAAATTTAGCAAGAAGGACTTGAATCAGGGTGTCCCTTTACAAATCACCAAAAGAGGGCATGACCTCTCAAAACGGGGACGAAATCGGCCAAAAAGGTGGCAAAAAAGGAGACATTATTTTTAACACTTAAAAAGTCTAAATGAGGTAAATCAGAATTTTTCATTTTCCGAAGATCTTGAGATCACGAGTTCTGTTCCTAAAGTTTGTAAATAAAAATTGGAATAATTTAATATTTAATTTATTAATCTTACTATTAAATTTAATACGAAAAATTTTAATTTAATTCCATTATTACTTTATTTAAAAAATCTTCACAATTCCTCTCTCTAAATAAAAAATTAATCTTCTCTGTATCTTATCTGTCCCTGTGATGGCTAAATTTCAAAATATAGATTCTGCATATTTAAGTCAGTCGGTAAAATACCTGTGTGTGGTGAGTGAAAGCGCCTAACAATAAGTGTCAGGAGGTTTCAGGATCATTGCTTGTCCGGGATGATGGTTAATAAATTACAAAAAATAAAAATTATTTTTTCCGAAAAAGGAGATAGACTCCCTTAATAATAGGACATGAAAGGAAAAGCAAGTGGGAAAAAATAACGAGAGTAGTTCCATGCTGTTTTGATAATTTATTAATTTCCAATATGTATCTACAAGTTGAAGATGATCCAGCAAAACAATTTTTGTTAAATATTTTGTGGGTAACTCAAAATGCTAAAATTTGTTTATTATCATAATTTTTGATTGCCTTTCAATTTATTTAACGAAGAATGACATTCTTGCAAATTTGATTGACAATATACTCACTATATTCACAATGTGTCAATTATTAACCTTTTCTTATCAGCTGTTTGGAAGAGTAAAGAATATTTTTTGTACTCAAATTTCTCTATATTTTATTTTGTTTTTTGTTCATTAAATGATTGGCGCCCCTTCCTTTAGTTAACATTTTTGTATGAAAATAGGGTAAAGTTCCATATTAATTGCCAGAAAGATGGCGCCAGATAGTTGCTATTTGGGCAAATATAAGCAAGCCCGTTTTAGCTATTCCTCATCATTTTTAACGTCTCTCTCCCTTCTCCATAAAATATTTAGAAGTTCAAAAACATTTAAGAAAAACAATCATTAATGCGGATTAATTCAATTTTCCTTCTGTTGGCCATAGGCTTATTAGGCCCTTCAAATTTGATTGTTGGGGATGAATATCCGGCAACTTCAACATTGAAACGTTTTTTCTACCGACACTTTTTTGTGGATAACTCTGCCTCTGAACAAACGCGTTCACCGAACTTTCAAGAAAGAACAGTATATCACTACAGTTATGATGCTCAAGTTGAGACTGGTTTGAGTACTTTAGACGAATCTGGCACAACAACCCAAACATCTGACAACGGACAGCAAGCTGTTACTCGTATTCAATCGCAAGTCAAAGTTTATTTTGCAAGTCAAACACGTGCTCAGCTTTGCATGACACAAAACAGATTTGGACAACTAAACGAACAAACGAAACAAACAGACAGCAACCAATGCTATGAACCTTTAAGCACCTTTGAGCCTGTATAGAATTCTATTATTTTAAAAACTGATTTAAATAAATTTTTAGAAACAAATCCCCCAAGAACAGCGACTAAAACTTGAACTCTGTTGTCAATTTGATTATGTTGATGGAGTAATTGTTCGAGTCCAATTCGACAAACAAGATGAGGCTTGGTCTAAGAATATGAAGAAAGGTGTTCTCAACATGATTCAAATGAATTTGAGGCAAAACAATGCTCAGGAATTAGCGACTGAACATTCAAGAAATCAGCAGGATGGAAACATTGAGGAGAATGAAGCAACACAAATGAGAGACCAGCTTGCTCATTCCTTCACCATTCCCGAAGTTACTGTCGAAGGAGAATGCCAAACAACTTACACAATTAACACAGCAAATCCATCTGAACGTTGCACGCAAAAAAGTTATGATGAACGTAACAAGCAACAGCAAATGCCATGCTCTTTCAATGTGACCAAATCCATCAATTTCAAGCAGTGCTCCAGAATTGGCGATATTTCTGCTGGTTTCCAGACAGAACAACCACAGGCTCGCTGTGCTCAATGTAAGATGGATTGGTACAAACAAACAGAACGAGATCAACAACAAACTGGGACTGCAGAACATCCTTGTGCCAAATGTGACCCAAAACGAGTTAAGGAAGAGACTGTAAGTGAAAAAACAATTTATAGGGTTTTATATTTTAAATTCAGTTGGATCGGCAAACAGTAATGCGTGCAATGCTTAAATGTGGAAGTGAGCAACAGATGATCGAAGGGAAACAACAGGAAACCCAGAATAGCTGCCAGCTTGATAGTTCTGAAATGCGTTCCATGTATGTCTACAAAAACACCAAAACTGAAAGTGGCCCCTATGGTTCGGCAATGCGTACTGAAGTCTGCGCCAAACTTCAATTACGTTCTGCCCAGTCAAACCAAGACCAACAGGTAGCCACACAGACATTGGACAACGACGAGTCTTTGGTATACACCGTCCAGACTTACACAGACTTTGCACGCTTCTATATGGTTTATTTGATAGTTAAATTCAGTAAAAAAAGGATATTTTAGTTTGGAGATGAAGAATTCCCAGATTCAACAAATTCACCATTCGCCTCAGTACCAAAAGTGGAACAAGCTAGTCAAGCACTTCGTGCTTTAGTTCAAAGTACTTTAGATCATCATCATGGCATAGACACCAAACACACTATTCAGTTGAGTAGATTAGTTGAAATGCTGAGGATGTGTAGCTATGAAGATTTAAAACAAATTGAACAAAATTCTCAACAATACCATCAAAATCAACAACAAACTGCCAAACAAATACTTGTTGATGCAATGGCTATTAGTGGTACTCGAAATTGTGTTGTTCGAATGGCTGAGATAATTAATAACCAAGTAAATTTAACAGACAACCTTTCCATCCATGTTTAAATATTTTAGGAAGTCTCACCTCACAAAGCTGCATATACAATCAGTCAATTAACAGGATTACAATCTCCATCAAATTCAATTGTAAAAGAAGTTCAAAAACTCTGCCAAAGTGAACAAGTTAAAAATCAGCCAATAGTTAAACAATCTGCTTGTTTGACTTTTGGGGCATTAGTTAATGAATTATGCTCTCAAAGGAGAAGTGAGAAAACTCCAGATTTAACTCATCAAATTCCGGAACAATGCACAGAAGACAAGAAGGAACAATACAAACAAGTATACATTTAAATATTTACTTAAGTAATTAAATAATCATTTTAAAGGTTTTGGTAGAACAATATGAGAAAGCAACAACTCTTCAAGAAAAATTAAATGCTTTAGCTTCTCTTGGAAATGCAGGAATTGACACTTCTACTCCCCAACTTGAACAAATAATTAAGGATAGAAGTGAACATTCTCTTTCTAGAGCAAAAGCAATTGATGCTCTTCGCCGTCTAACAACAAAACAACCCATGACTCTTCAACATATGCTTTTACCTATTTATCTTAACAACCAAGAAGATCCAAATCTTCGAATTGTTGCACTTCAAATATTAATGAGAACACAGCCAGAGCCATCAGTAATTGATCAAATAATTTATACAATGAGTCAAGAGCCAAATAAACGAGTAAAAGCATATACTTATCAAACAATGAAAATGGTAGCTAAATCAAAGAATCCAGCTGATAGACAAATGTAAGAGAAAAAATAATAAGAAAAAATATTTTTATTTGAGAATAAATAATAATTTAAGGTCCAAACACGTTAAAAATGCAATGCAATCGGCTAACGTCGATGAACAACAACTTTGGAGTTATGCAAAATGGCAAATCCCGGTTTACAGTCCCGAACAAGAAGAAGGAATTTTCTTAACTTTGGCTACTGAATATTTACAACGTTCTTGGATGCCAAGCTTGTCTTACATGAAAATTGACTCTTACTTTAAAGATCAATCAAATGTTAATGATCTTGTATTTTATTTAATGAAAAATCAACCATTATATGGCCAAGATTATACAAAATCTCGTAATCGACGAACTGTACCCATTCGCGGTATTGACAGAAGAAAATTTGAACAAGAAAATAATGAAAATACCCAGCAACTTGAAAATATGGATAGTCAACTTGGAATAAAAAGTCGTCATGGAGGATATTCATTTAATGATAGATATTCAACATCAGAACAACAACATCGATATAGCCATAACAATAATATTAACGTTTTTTGTACAAGAATTGGAGATGTAGACCATTCCTGTTATGAAATACAAAATTTGAATCAAACAACA